ATTAACAAGAAATAACCGAATATATTTATGGTATTGCCAAACTTCGCTCACACATGTATAAATGGCGGAAACTAGATATGAATCAGGAAATGGTAATATCCCCGAAACATCCAGAAATTTACAATAAAGACAACGCGGGGATGTAAGGAAGTGAAGTGAGTTTTGTAAAACGGATGTACCTATCAAACCTGAGTTTATTTTGCCGCAGAAATTTCGAAATAAATCGAGTCACTATATTTTATGATATTTTAGATTCAATTTGGATTGTTGGAATTATCATGAATCTTCGCTTTTTCTTTATAAAGAATAATTCTGGTGTAATCTTGTAAAACCATACCTCGTACCCGCATTGATTCCTTGAAAAAAGTACCAGTAAAAATCGACAACTCGAGGTTTACAGCTTACAGCACCTGCTCCTGACATGTCCGACATTTTCTTTTATTTATTTTCTATTATTGAACCCTAGAATTTATACAGTGGAATGGAACCGAACCAACCATTAACAGCTATGACGATAATGTCCTCTGGATTTGAGATTGACAATCTCAAATCCAGAGGACAGAAGAAGACGATGGAGGGAATTGACGAAAATGGTAAATGATGATGCTGAAATATACAATATAAAAGTATTAGGCCCAAGCATCCATCCTTGGAGAACGTTTATCGACAGATCCACATTTGATTGCGACATAACAGCAAGGGCTTCCTTTTTACCAGAGAAAGTTAATCTCTACAGGTGAACAGTCATCATTACAAATAAAATACGAGCTTTCTCCTACAAGAAACATCAAAGAAGTTAATGACAAAGTATCTAATAATTCCTCGAATGACTTCGTCAATAAACACTTTCCGGGTACGGCAAAAAAACACTTAGGAAAATATACGAACGAAAAATGAATGATTCACGAGCCAGGAAGTTATTCGAGCGTTTTTCTTGGTATCTAATACCGACAATATACCCGAGTAATTCAGACACAGGAGGTACAATTTCTAAACTGTTTTGCAGTGTTGCCTACACCCACAACATACATTGTTACGAGCTGAGAAGTATAATAGTACTATTGAATGAATGATTGTACAGACCAACGGGATGGTGTTTTATAAACAATAGCCTCCTTTTCAGGGACATTATTCACAACTAAATATAGGAACAAATTTTAAACGTAGTACGAGATTTTAAAACTTAATCTACCCATACAATAGCTCGCATTCACGTATAAACTTCTCCGCTCTAACCAAAGATTTCTTAACTGGAGTTAAGATGTTCAATCGACTACCTGAATATCTAAAAATAATGAATCTGGAGGCACACTTCAGAGAAGAAGTTAAGAAATATTTTTCAGTTGAGCCCTATTATGTTTGGACGAATATTTGAATGACAAGGCGTTTTGAAACAGATACAGAATACCATTTTATTTTCATAATTACGAAATATGTTGATAGCAATAAATATTCAACTAATATTGTTATAAACAGTCTGATTTGAAATATTTACATAATAATGAATAGGTAGGTATGCCTCTTTGAGAAGATATTTAGAATGTTATGAACTTGAAGCAACGAATCATTACACATTGTCATTAGTTTATTGTAAAATGGGGAATGTTCCTCAATTGGGTTATCACAGCAAATGCAAGTTTGAACAAAATAAAGTTGAGTTTAATTCATGAGTTTTTCAAATTCACTTCGGAAAGTATTCAAATTGATGTTTCAAATGTTGGGTTTTGATTTTTAAAGGGATTTGTTTCTAATTCACATATTGGCAACAGCGCCTATATCAAGTTGAAATAATTTATACGTACCTAGATATTCTTACTGAAGGAAAAGTTATTTCTTATAAAACCACTGGCATAAGCTGAAACATGTTTGAAGAATTCTGGAACATCTTAAAAGATGAGCATTTTCAACACTTAGGCATGGAAAAAATATTTTGGAGAAACCCCTGAATCCCTGTATCCTCATAGGAGGATATTCTGAATGGAAGGGTTAAACAGTACCCACTTCACTTTGGCATTAACATTGAATCACCAGGGAACAACCCACCAGAAGTTTTTCAACTATGCACTCAATAAATCCAAAACAATTCTTGTGTATATTTTCCATCCTAATACAATTTAGAGGTAATTGGTGAACGTGAGTTCCAGCACGTGCTATTTCATAATCGGCACTTTTGAAGGGGTGTTTATTTTTTCAGTGTATCACTCTATAAATATTTATCCTGGAATATTGTTGCAGGAAATAAAATATCACCCACGACTCGAAGATATAAGTATGTTGGAGTATTTTTAGAAACATTTCGGGTAAAAATGTATAAACACTTCATCTTCAAACAATCCCACTACATTCAAAAATAATTTTATATTCGGATGTTCACTCTGGGTAGTAAACAAATATGAATGCTGGATAATGTATTAGCAACAATCCAGTGAATAACGGATAACATGTTTGAAATTATCAGTACCAAGAAAATAAATACTTTTAAAAAGTACCGTTTGATCACTGTCCCTAATAGATTTACTGAAATAAACACAGCAAAAAAACATTTCAGTGAAGGTGAGAGATCCCATCGAGAAATTTTGAGCATTTTCGAAACGTTTTTTTTTTAATTATTAGATGGGTAATTGTCAACTTACGTTTCCACGACCAGAGGTTAACGGCCAGGTATATAATACGGGATCAGCCCCAGCGGGAGAATGTAATTTCAACTCCATCATCCAAATTAAAGCTGCGTTAGCTAAATGAATAATCGTCACTAAAAATTTTCACCATTTGAACTATTACACCTAGTACATAACACCTCAAACACACATTTTCACGGGAGTTTATAGATCTCACATAGCAAAACACGCCATAGCTCAGCGTATAGCCACTGCGCGCGCACTGGTAATGCAGTGGTACCACCCTAAAACTCTTCGGTGTCCATTCAATTTTGACAATCAACAGAAATAATTACTTCCACTTATGCGCAGTTTCCATATCTACAAAATTTCGGCAAACTAGTGAAAACTCAATGGCTTATTCGAAATATTGACATATTTTTTTGAAGGGATTATACAAAAACATCCAGGCAAAGTTCAAAATAGATTTTTTTTGTTATGACTGTGAATGGCTACCTGAAGTAAATTTTATTCAGAGGAAGGTATATCCGCCACTTGATTTGATCGCAGTTATTGATACAAGTGAACAAAACACATTTGTATTAAAAATTTGCCAACTCAGATAATCTACATTTATTTTTTCTGGGTTTGAAAATTATACTGATATGTCGTGAGGTTGGATAAATACGATTATAAATGAAGTATACTTTACTTAACTTTGATACGATAAAAATATTCTTTTGAATCATCTTCCCAGAATAAAATATAGCCAGAATAACAAAGCACATTGTTATCAGTCATGGGTTTTTGAATTTCGACCAATCAAAATAGCATTGACCCACAAATCGCAACGCCACACATTTTTGCAATGGTGCCATATTTGTAAAAAATTGAACAGAGTTAAGCGTCATCTACGTTATTTATATGAACTAGCCTAATTGGAGTGTTCCCTGCACCACTGACAATATAATTGATTTGTGGAACGCGACAAAAAGGCATAGTTTTAACGTTAACGTTATAAGAATTAGAAAATATAGAATATGAAAATACTGTATAAACGTGCATTCACACTGAAGTTCAACTACAGAGGCGTTTTCTGACGCTAGTGTACTCAAAACGTATTCGTCTGTGATTCAAATACATTCATTCTAGTGTTGAAACGATGACGTCACAACAACTATGATTTGAAACGTATTCATTATGATTTCAAAACTAGCGAAAATGAGAACTTTCTTTATTTTATGAAATATATGTCACGAAATAGACGTTATGACTTGTGTTGAGTTATTCTGTGCTCCGCAATCGTTCACAGAACTCATAATTATATTCTAATTATGATGTTGTAGGGTTTTGGCCGATATTGAAGGTGGCTGGGTACCAAAAAAAACACAGTTAGCATTTTCATCGGACCGTGGGAGATTCATCGCTGAATCCAAATATTTCTTATGGCCATGCATTCCATACATTTCTTGTGGGCCAGAATTTCGTCTAACTTTAAACATATTTATTATATTTTATGATTCTGATAGCGAGAATTGGCTTCTCTAATCATTTGATCACTCAATAGATGGAAAATAATTATAATTGAATATGTTTCTTGTAATTAGGAAAAATGAAATTGAGTGGAAAAATCCTAGGACGTATGTATATATTAACTACAACAACACATAATAGTAAAAATGTCTTGCTTCAGGCTGTAATCACAAGAACTGGAGACAAAAAAATTGACACAGAATCTAGCCTGGGTAATGAAAAACTTCACAAAAGAGTCAGAAAGTGCGGTAACTTAATTGAGTTATGCATTTTCATGAAGTATCGGCCAATTCTGTTTCATATTGATGAGGGCATTGATCGTATCCACTGACAACTCTGGCAATAGACGAGTTCACCGATGAGTTCACAGATGTATCTGGTGAATTCATCCACTGGTTCTTCTGAAACTTCAACGCGTTTCTATTGGTTGAAGCAATCCATCAGAAATTTTCTGTTGAGCTCAAAAAATTGCCTAATGATAAATGTCGCAAGTGACTTCAAATAGTTCAGTTCACTTTTCACTATTAATTTTTAGCATTACATTTGTTTATATCGTGTAGTTTTCAAATATTGAAATAGTTTATCTGTTGTACCAAAGTTTTGTTTGAAAAAGTTTATCAAAAATTGCTTGTAAACTGTCAATCTTTAATTTTCAACAATTCAATGAAAGTAAAGAAAATCAATATATTTTTCAGGGTATATCCATCTGAAAATTTGGTAAGAGAAACTAGAAAGTAACTGAAAAATGATGAGAACTTACTTTGCTCTTATGATTACTTGTTACATTTGGAACATACTTCAAAGTTCAAATTAAATTGTTCTGTGGTTCTGTGTCATGCAACTTTGACAGATGTCAAATCGAAATTTTTTCTAACCTAAAATTGCTGTGATCGAAGGAGGATATGATGAATGATGATACGTGTAAATCGCTAACGATGTCTTTATCAAGATAACAGAAAAATACTTCTGTGCTTCAGATGAAATGAATGTATTGCTTATAATAATATCAGTCCTCTTATCTGTGATATGTGTCCTACTAGCTTTACTTCAACATTACTATTTTTTCAATAAGTTATACAGAAGACCATCAATCAAATATGATGTCCCTGTCTTTGAGGATTTGATTCCATCAGGAAGAAATAAATTTGAATACAAATTCAACTATCCTTTACAACCAGTTGAAGATCATGACTCGGACACCGTACTAAATGATTTAAACTCTGTTCTAGAATCTCAGCCCAAAGAAGGTGACACAGTAGGATTTATATTAAAAAATGACAAAGCTACAGGAACAGATTCTGAAGTTTATAATACTCTACAGGCTGCTATTGCATTTAAGTTATCGGGTAAGAATCATAAAGCCCTAAAGCTGTTCGAACATGCTGCAGCAATTGCTCCTGAAAATGCTGATGTATTGAATCGATATGGAGAATTTCTAGAACAACAGCATTTCGATATCGTCACTGCAGATGAACTTTATTTCAAGGTATCTTAATTTCATGTGATAATAATAATAATAAATGTTGATTCAAATAGACAACAGATGATTATAACAAAAAAAATTCTAGAGATTTTATTGTACATAATAATATAATAAACCTTTTTCGAGGTTAACAATGAATGATCCACCATCAATAATAATTTATATACATTTTTCAGGTTATAAGTAAGGTGTGATAATCATAGCTTTTATCTTAGTGATATTCACCATATCATCAGGAAGTCACATTCAACTCTTGAAATGTTTCAAACTTCTTTGTTTTAGGCTCTCACATATTCTCCTAACCATGAGGCTGCCCTGACAAATCGTGAACGCACAGCTCAAGTAGTAGAAGGTCTAGATTACAAACTTTTCAAAGACATTGATGAAAGGAACGATTTTTTAAAGAATAGGATGAAACTGGATGGTTTTGAAACTATGAAGAAACAAGCATATTATTTACACATCTATCATACAGTAAGTAACATATTCTGTGATGACAGTTTTCCACAAGCCACATAAACAACAGTTGTTTTGTTATTTATTTATATAGAGGAAGATAGGTTAGGTGCATAAAATGTCATATGTCACAGAATGTCTCGGAACATAAGTAAACAGAACAGCACGCCTCTGAAGTATGTCATCTTTGTTTGTCTCATACAGGTAACAGATTCATTGTCCTTTATTAGCTATAACCGATTTTGCCAAATGGTGAAATAGAAACGAATCCCTTCAAATGTTGAATGCATTATTTCATTCCTCTTTTATGAAAACTACTTGATTTTCGTCAGGAGGAAGATTCCCCATTATATTAAACTTATTTACAATTTTTGAAAAAACCTGAATCATGTGATCATTTCTTTGTTAGATAAGTAAGCCAAAGTATCCATATGTCATACCTTTGATTAGTTTGATTCAATCACTGTTGAACAGATTCATACACACCACCTTAGAGGCTAGTGATATTTTCAAGGAGACGATGTCAACTAATCGTGTCTGCAATATGTTGAGAAATTCACTAGAAAAAAACAGTTGAGCACTGTATAATGAGAGTTGGTATTCACTATTGAGTATATAATTAATCGCTTATTTTAAGGTGGGTATAGAAGGAAACACAATGACTGTAGAACAGATGCGATATCTTTTAGAAACAGGACAGGTTGTTAGTGGAAAGAGCCTCGTAGAACACAACGAAATATTGGGTTTAGAAAAAGCAATGCAGTATATCAAACTGTTGGTGAGGACGGATTATATTGGAATAAAAGAAATATTAGGAATTCATCGACGTGTTATGGGGCATGTAGATCCAATAGCATCAGGAGTTTTTAGAGATGAGAAGGTATCAAACTGAATATTATCGAATATATATCTGACTTGAAGTTTCTTTAGAAATTATGCAGAATTAATATTTGAAGGTTTTTGTGGGAAGCCATGTTCCACCACCCCATGACCAACTTCCAGCCTTGATGGAGAGCTACGTTGAGTGGCTCAATTCGGAAGAAGCTCAAAGTATGCATCCTGTACGATATGCAGCCTTAGCGCACTATAAACTTGTTGACATTCATCCATTTGTGGATGGAAATGGACGCACAAGTAGATTAATAATGAATCTGATTTTACTCAAAGCAGGATATCCACCTGTGATGGTACTGAAGGAGCAGAGGTAGCATTGTTGCTTTTATATTGAAGACAGTATACAAACATTGATAATTTTTTAGAGAGAAATATTATGATGCGCTGAAGACGGCGAATTTAGGTGATGTGAGGCCGTTTGTCAGATTTGTGGCACAGTGTACTCTGCAAATTTTGGATATGTACATTTTTGGAACCAGATTTTTATCAATTGAAGGTGGTTCAGAAGAAGGTAAAATTATAACTTTTGAATGATAACTGAGAATTCTGAAATACCAATTTATTTTATGTAATGATGCTGCCATTTCAGTAATTTCAAACATTTCTTGAGAATTATGATTTGATTAATATTTTATTACAATTTTTACCTACTTGTTGATTCAAGTGAACTGACAAAACTAAATTTGGATAATACATTTGATGGGTCTAGTGAAAAAATGATGAGGTTAATGACATGAAGAAACGACTCACCCAACGGCTCAGAGAAAAAACAAGTTGATTCCAAAAAAATCACATTGGAAAACTACAGTGTACAGCTGAAGAATGATGAGACTTCTGCGAGCCCTAGAATGACTGATGAGATTCCACTTCCCAATCTTTCAGCATTTCCCGTTCACCGTTTCCTGAGATTCTCATAACATTGTTCTTGACAACTTAAATTTTGCATTAAACAAACTAAACACTATTCTACGTGCAGATGTAATTCTGTAGACTTGTATAATAAGATTTAGTTTTTGGCAAAATCTGTTATAGAACCTCTTCGTTGTTTCCACTGGACTTTTTGTGTGTAATGAAGTTCATAGATACATGTGTATGTATCATACAAATTCAAGAGGATAATCATGGATTTCAGCCTAACAATCCTAGTTAATCAAAAGTATAATTGATTTCTGGAAAATTTTTCATATTTTTGTGAATAATCAGATAAAGAGTAGATTTGCGGACAATGAGAAAATGTGAGGCGACCGGGATTGGGATCCGGCTCTCCTGTTTGCTAAACAGACGTAATAAGCAACTATGCTATCGGACCCACCAAGTAGAATGTCTGGGAATTACTTATCTGGCAACATCAATGGTAACAATAACTCATTGTGATATCTCTTATTGCTTCCTGATTTCAGAGGGATCAAAAAGCATCCATGTATCATGTTTTTCAGACGTATTTACTTTCAGGTTTGTTTGACTCGTTCGGAAAATTGTTGAAAAATTAATTCTTTCTAATAGCTTTGAAATGAAACACTGTTTAAAAAAAAACTTTTTTCCGTTAACCATCTGTCGCTCCACTAGGACCACCCTCAAAAGTCCAAACCTGTGTGAGCTGAGGATTGAAGAGGTCTCGCCTTTTAACGTGCGATTCCTGGCACATATTCTGGTAGTGTCACAAATAGTAGAATTTTTTGTTCGTTGGGGTTTGACATACTTGTTAAATCAGTGTTTTGAGGGTAACATCAAGTTGCATGCTGAAAAATAATTTTAATATATATTAAGTTTCATTACATGATCAACGTTTGTTTGAAAATGCAGGTTTTGATTACTAGAAATGCGATTTTGAAAATGTAGTGTGTGAAAAGTATTCAATTTTAAGTTCGGTGTGAATTTAGAAATAGACTTTCAGCCCAGGATGGTTAGGAGAAGAGAGACAAAAAATTTTCATTTATATCGTTTTATTCTTCAGTTAAAAAAATTAACAATCCAAATAGAACATAAATACGCATTGAATGTCATTGTAATTTCCATAAATTATCAATCTTTAGAGTTGAGGCCTGAAAATTTTGTGATTTTAGAAAACTAAATTGCTTATCTGAATCTTATACTGCTGAACACGTTGAAATATGTGCCTGTAGGCAGCGCCTTTGCGATAGAGGGTTTTGAGGGGGATCGAACAATTTGGCAAATTATGGAAAATTGGGAATTTGTTGGTAAACGGTACGAAAGTTAGGAAAATTATTGCTGTATATGAAATGCCAGGAAAAACAAAAAATTAATGTCCCACCTTGTTGAACTTCCAACTGTAAAAATGTAAATGCCCTGCCTGTAAAAATGGAGAATGTTCCTCAATTTGGATTATTACAGCAAATGCAAGTTTGAACAAAAAAGTTGAGTTTTTCAAATTCACTTCGTACAGTATTCAAATTGATGTTTCAAATGTTGGGTTTTAATTTTTAAAGGGATTTGTTTCTAATTCACATATTGGCAACAGCGCCTATATCAAGTTAAATTCAGAAACATTAGGTATTTCATACTTCACAGAGATAGAAATATATTTTTAAAGTCTCCCTGTGAATAAATCTATAATCAGATCCACGCAGATGAATCCTCAGACGCTACTGACATAAACAGACTGATTTAAAATCATTATTATTCAATTACTCAATACTCCCTAATCAGATAAACTGACTTGGGGTCAGTTGAATGTGAGCTGGCCAATACATTGATCTTTGTCTAGTTGCCACTCGGTGAAGACAAAATGAACTTCACCATAATTCTAGCTTTGTGCTGTTTATCTGTAGTTATTTCAGAAGGTTTGGCTTATTCCTATGCTACAAAATACATTGATGTACCGTTGGATCATTTTAGGTGAGTAAGGTATATTTTCAAATTGATATTTATGAATTGAGGTAAATTTAGTATATATTTTATAAATTTTCTATTCATGATATCGGCATAGTAGCGAGAAAACAATATATTTTGGAGGCGGTTTTGTAAAAAAACGGTAATGGAGCAAAATGACGAAACTGTTGAAATTAATTTTTATTTATTTATTCACGGGTTCAGGACCCATTTTTTAATATGTTTATCTGCCATCTCAATTGAGATAGCCAAAGCTTGCCATATTTGAAGTGTTTCATCTACCAAACGATAGATGTCGCATTGATATTAACCTCAGTAAAAACTTTGAATGTAAACTATATACAAAATTAAAAACTTAGTGTAAGTCTATATATAAAAGTAAAAACATAATACAATTTTCATGAAAACTGCATTTGATTTTGACACTTAATCAAGCTAGTGTTGCAATGCCAGGGCATTGACAGGTTATTCGGGGAGCCTGTGGTATAGGGGCATTCAGGGCATTATTTGAAATTTGACATCTGTCTCACTGTAAACTAAAATTGAAAGTATAACATAAAAATGGTAAACTAGTTAATTCTAACTAGGGTTGGTAGTGTTTATATATGGTAATCGAAGGCGATAGGGAAGTAGCTAGAACTCTATCGAATCGACGCGGCATCTAGAACAATTGCGAAGCGCACGTTGAAAAGTGCGTGATCATGACTAAGTCACAATCGATTTATGACGACCAGCGGCAGCCGGCGTTATTTTTTTCAGGGGATGATTTACAACACTATTTTCGCAGCAATTGTTACATTATTGATGATGCATGTATTTTTCGAAAACTGATTGTTTCGAATTCCTCAAATTAAACGAAGTTGGTAATTTGAATCTGTTAGTGTTTTATAATTATTAGTCGTTGTTGTTGTGAATATATAAACATTGAAAATAAGAAATTAATAATTGATAAAACTAAAATCTACAATCTTCCATAGTCAGTTATTACATTATTTCACAAAACTTTGAATGCTTCTTCAAAACTACTGTTGAATATATCATGTAAACCGGAAACCCTTCAGTTAAGGCTCCAATCGAAGAAAAACTCACTTTTCCTACCCTAGGACTTCTCTGGAAATTGTAATCAATACCTTAAAAACTATACACAGAGTATGAGAAATGTTTTGTCAATAACTACAAGCACCTGTTTTTTTTTTCAGTTTCACCTCTAATGCCACGTTCAAGCTGCGATATTTGATTAATGATACTTTCCACATTGAAAGGGGTCCAATTTTTTTCTACACCGGTAATGAAGGGGATATCAACATATTTGCCCAGAATTCTGGGTTCATGAACGATATTGCACCACAATTCAACGCTTTATTGGTTTTTGCTGAACACAGGTCGGTTATAAAATAAAACAAATGGAGATAATGGCTCTGCACCCACCATATGTTAGTTATTTTTTAGGTACTATGGAACATCCCTTCCATTCGGGAACTTATCTTATACCTCACCGAAGTATTTGGGATATTTATCATCCAGTCAGGCACTGGCTGACTTTGTTTACTTGATAAACGAACTTCAAAAAAAGTACGTCACTACGACGGATTTGCAAAAACTGCCAGTGGTGGCGTTCGGAGGTTCCTATGGGGGTATGCTTTCTGCGTGGCTAAGAATGAAATACCCAGGCTCGGTGGTCGGAGCCATAGCTAGTTCTGCGCCCATTTGGCAGTTCAAAGGGTTGACCCCATGTGAAAACTTCAACAGAATAACTACCAATGTTTATTCAGCACTGGGAGGGAACACGTGCAGTGAAACCATAAAGAAATCTTGGAAAATAATTCGGTAACGATTTTTTTCTTTGATAGATATCGAATCTAACTAACCTGTTCGTTTTAGCTCTTTCACAATGAATGATACAGGAAAATCAGAATTGTCCAAATACTGGAAATTATGTTCGCCTCTGAACACAACGGCTGACGTTCAAGCACTCATAGACTGGCTTACTGAGATTTATGTTGACATAGCTATGCTCAACTATCCTTACCCGACGAATTTTCTGGCTGAACTTCCTGCGCAACCAGTCAGAGCGTTTTGCAGTAAAGTGAATCGAAAGGAGTACAATGACAATGCAGAATTATTGAAAACGATTGGTGAGGCTTTGGAAGTTTACACTAACTACACGGGAAAAACCAAATGTAACAACATCAACACAACTTCTGCGTCGTTAGGCATTCTGGGATGGGACTTCCAGGTGAGAATCAAAATAAGGGTATGATTACGCCTGAGGAAGTTATTGTATAGCGAAACACGTGCTGGGATTTTGTGAACTGTCCTTAAATTATAAAGTTTATTTTTTCATTCCAAACTACCACACAATTTCATATAAACTCCGTGAAGCCAGGTATCTTAGCCAGTAACAAATAATGAGTAATAGTCGGTAATATTTGTGTTGGAAAAATCCTTCATTCTCCAGCTGAAAAATCATCGTCATATATACGCTGTCTGTTAAAAAAATATGGTGAATTTGGTTGGTTGATGATTCGTACTCATCTGAACTAGATATTCTTTCAGGTGCCCTTCAAGGGTCTATACTGGGCCCATTACTTTTTATTATATACTGCAGGTATTTTAAATGGAATAGAACACTCTAAAGTTCAAGTTTTTGCAGATGATTCACAACTGTATTTCAGTTTGCGTACCTACTGAAAATTTCGAGACTGCAGAAGAAATCATGAACAAGGAATTGAATAAAATCAAGAAGATAATTTGAAACCCAATTCTGAAAAATCCAAAGTATTATATTTCGGTAGTAAAAATAATATGAACTTCTTGAGGAATAGTTTCAATCTTCAAATTGGTAATACCCCGTTGGAAACATGTGATTCAGCCAGAAATCTTGGTTTAGTATCATATACAGACATGCGTTTTTCCCAGCACATAAATAATCTTATTGGTAAAACTTTCGCATTTCTCTAACTTATTTACAGTAAACGTCATATTCTTAGCTTCAAAATGAATCTTACGTTGTGTGAATCAATTGTCCTGAGTCACTTTAACTATTGTGATTTCCTTTATGGACCATGCCTGACAAAGGTAGATAAGAATAGAATACAAAAAGTGCAAAAAAGCTGCGCAAAACTGATTTATGGTATCAGAAAATATGAACATATTTCACATAAAATTGTTGAATGCAACTGGCTCAATATGTACAATACCCACATGGGTGCTTTTACTCACAAACTTTTGAATGATCATAATGTGGCAAATTAATGAATTTACTGTCTTAAACTAATTTATTTCCAACAATATTTCAATAATCACAAACTAATGTATTTATTACAACACTTAGCAACTAACGCTCAATTTCTTCTTCTCCTTTTAATTTTGGTCCCAGCTTCCAGGTTTGGCGCTATTATGACCAGTACTCTTTTTATTACAGTGTTGACTGTAACAAAAACTTTGTCCGGGAACGCTTAATTTATTTCCACTATTCGAATTTCTTGTTTAGCCGCTCGACTCACTTTCTACAACTGCCCTCTTGGGTCGGGAAGACGGGCTTATATCGGTAAAGGTCCTTTCGAGAATTCTGTAGACGGTTCGGTACTCGTCTAGAATTTTACCGGCGGTTCCAGACTGCATTCTTTCGAAGTGAGGTCATGTGTTTGTTCGATGAGTCGGCTGGCGTATCAATTCAACCGGTCAGGGGCGGCTTTAGATTCGTTACAATAACCCTGATTCAATATTCTTCCACCCACCCTGGTAACTTGAATACAGTTCTTAGGAACATTATCATATTGCAATATTTGTTTCAGTCTTGCACAGAGATGATAATGCCCATATGCTCAACAAACTACGACATGTTCGAGAACCAACCGTGGGACTTCAAAAAAGTGTCGGACAATTGCATGAACAAATTCGGAATACGGCCTAGAGATGAAGAGGTACCTATTCTGCAATACGGGGGCAAAGACATAAGTTCTGCTTCGAACATCATCTTCAGCAATGGACTCTACGACCCCTGGTCCAGCGGTGGAGTGCTCAGAAACATAGGCGCTAGAATTTTAGCTATTGTGATACCAGATGGCGCCCACCATTTCGACTTGAGGGGAGCCAATGTCAACGATTCATCATCCGTCAAAGCTGCAAGAGAATTTCACGTTCATCATATCCGCAGGTGGATCGATAGGTTTTATTTTGATAATTTGAGAGATGCGTTGAAATATGAATTTTATAAGAGCACTTCATAATTGTAAACACTTGATAATAAACGATACATCAGGTTTGCCAAATTTTGTTATATCCTGGAGTATTCCATTCCAGGTGCTACTTCTGACATCACGATGACACCAAGAGTGCTGCTTGAGATTCGAAAATTGTTAACAAGTTATTTTTCCAAGAGCAGATAACCCCTTTCTTGGCCATAAATACAGATATTCTTATCATCGATCACATTAATTTGTTAACCTCATGTTTATAATAGGCAAAAATAAAAAAATGTATGGATAGAATTGGAACTTCTGAAGTTAAATGAATCTAATGAATAAGAGTAAGAAATCAGCAATATTATCCATCGAAATTTTTAAAATAAAGAACGATTTGTAAACTTGGTTCACTTCTGCCAGAAATTATTGGGTCATTGAAGGTGAGGTGATGGTTGAATGGGCTTTTGTTTCATGCTATGGAAAATGATACTGGTTTGCTTATATGCTGATAGAGTTAGGGGTATATTATACTTATCAAGCCTAACTGATCCCAAAATCTCTTTATATTTGCAGAAAATAGAATAATTCGAAAAGCAAGAATTTAAATTGGCCGCGTGTTTGTTGGCCAATCAAATTGATCGTGTCTAGAGCGGAGCGGAGCCAAGTGAATTGGTTTTTAATATCCAATCACAGATCTGATAATCCAATTTAACAGACGCCCTTTTTGGTTTTCTCATTAGTCAGTGGGCTATGCTATGCGGATATAATCCAACGTCCTTCGTGGTATTAGCCAGGGGTGTAGTTGTTTTCTGATAGGCGTCAGTCCATTAAACCTACTGTGTAGGTAAACAGAGACTAGCTTGAACGTTCAAAGTTCATTTCTGTAGAGCCATTTTTGTTGTTATTGTTGTCAACTCGGTGTGAATACAACTGTTATAATTATCTAATTAAAGAACGTTTTTTTGTAAAAGTTAGGTCTCGACGGGTCTCTATTTTGCTGCATATTCTGTGTCATTAGTTTACATTCCGAAAAATATTTTTTCAGGTTATCTTTGGATTGATATGTTCTGGAGTAATTCTACATTTCACTGTACGTATTTAACACATTCGATTTTTAATAATTAATTACGGGAAAACTACGGTATTTAGAAAGATGAAACAAAGTGCACTGTTTTTAAATTTAAAATCTCTATCAAGTGAAGTATAAACTAGAATTTTCTCATAAAATGGTACCATAGTTTAAATGCGAATGGAAGAGGGAGTGGTATGTAGTCAATAGCCCATCTTTGTTCACAATTTTTTCTTTCAGTTTACGCAGCAAAAATAGTTGGCAAGACAGTTTATTGCATAGATGGCTTATGTGGCTATTACACTTTAATTCATCATCGGGAATTATCCCCAGAAGTTTAGCAGTGGATCCATTCGAAATATTTTATTAGAGGAGAATATGATGTGCTGGGTTTTATCATTGTTTATTTTGAGTTTATTCGTTGTAAACGTAGATTATAGGGGTCACAAGTCGTTCCATTTTATTGCAAACAGTGGTGCCCCTCAAAGAAGCAATTTAGCACCTCTTTTATTCCCACTCTTCATTAACGACATAGGAAATAATATCTCTAGCAGTTTCTTACTCTTTGAAGATGATTTGAAAATATTTCGGCCCATTACATCACAGGAGGACTGCTCAATCTTACAAAAAGACCTTGACTTTTTGTACATTTGGTGTACCGAAATTAACACCTCTTCAAATAAGCACTCATCAGAGGGATCATGGTGTCACATCTGACCCTAAACTGAGTCTCTCCATCTACTATGACACAGTAACATGCTCAGCCAAACGGATGCTAGGGCTCATTTATTCAGAATTTATTAATGAAGTGTCGTCAGCAAATGTAATACACATATCCGGAAACAAGTAATGAAATATATCATTGGCATAAATGGTGAACAACAAAATAGGATGTTTCTTCTCCGCTTTTGAGGCCTTCTTCAAGAAATGAAGTTGTTTCTAGTTAACTATTTTTCTCTTAGTGGAATGTTTCATACATGCATTCAAGCCGCGTTGAAATCAATTGATCGAATCTTTCCTGTGTGTGGCCCTGCTGCTGGATGAACAGAAAACATCTGCGAGACTAACCTCTGTAAGGTATCAGAGTGGTATTAGCCGGGAAAGTAGTTGTTTTCCGGCAGTCATTAACCAGAACCTACAGTGTAGGTAGTTGGGAGAAATAAATATTTCGAGGTTTTATTCCGAAATATTTATTTTCCGGTAAGCAAGTAGTATTAGTTTTGGAAAGTAATATCTAAAACGAACAAACAAGTGGCTGGCAGTGCGTGGATCACCCAGTACAAGACCTTTCACGCATACCACGCTGTAGTATGTTTGTATTCGGTTCGAAAAGTTTGGCGCAATAATTCGGAAGACTCGATTGGCAGACCGGGGTTTAAACCACTCCTCATGAACCGAGAAATGGTTCTTCGAGTAACCAGTCGTCGCGCTGAGATCGGTTAGTTCGTATTCCGTTACAAAAATGTGAGTTCATCTGAAGCGAGTGTCTGCAGTGCGTAGAAAAACGGTGTTGATCTGTTGATGTTTTCACACACATAAACAAGTGAAAAAGTACCTGGTAGTTCGAATCGTGGGTTGTGGCGACCAATTTGAATTTGGAATTCGAAAGGTATGTGAGATTTGATTTAGTGAGCTGAAGCCACGTATTCTACCTGATACAGCAGCCTCCTGAGGAATCTCGATGTAGGTATATTGTTTTTTACCTGGTTTTCAATTGCCGATGATTATATGTGAGGGCACAGGTACCTGAACTAGAATCAAAACAATCATATTAATGACATATTTGGGACCTGCAACAGAAACTTTTTTAGTTTTTTTTTCTTACAAACTCGATAGAAGTTCCAATGTATCGAACTAGTTTTTTAATTGATTCTTTAGCGTATAGGAAATAGTTTTCGTCGAGAGCGTAAATTTTTCAAGGAATTCCAGAGTTATGAACCTTTCCAAATTCAGTTGATTGGCTTGTCAAACTTAAAATTATTTGAATTCCTAATCTGCTCGACTACAAACCGCCAAGGTTTTTTAAATCTAGCGGAGAGGTTAATATTATGTAATTAATACACCTTTCATAAAAGCTAGGGAATTCCAGCGATCTCACGTAGTTAAGTGTAGGATTCATTGAGAATTAGAGTCCTTCATCTATTTGCATTCGGATGGCAATAAATTGAGTGTATACAGGATAACATAAAATATACCGTGGGTTTTTATTGTGGGTGTTAAACCTCACATACAATCTACTACTAACGTGGAAATAAATTTGTTTGCTTGTAAGCTATCGAAGTTAATCTCAAGTATGCATATATTTTTCAAAGTTCATTCCTTCTTAGTGATAAATCGTGTGTATTGGAAACGAATAGATTATTTGCACACCAAGTTTTTCTAATTTGCAAATACTAATGATATGTAATGGAAACAAAATAGGACCCAACAGTGAACCTTGGGGCAAGCCGAATAGAGTAGCTCTAATCTGTGAATAGTGATCAAATTTACACAGGCTGGCTAGAATTCTCCAGGTACGATCAAAACCATCGCAAACTAATTTCCTTGAGACCGTCATATTCAAGCTGGTTTATAGCAGTATTTTCTGATAAATCGAAGTCTCAACAACGACTGTCCGAGTTAGTCATTGCTTAGACTTGAGTTCCTACCTTCGTCCTTGCTGTCAATGCCTCCCATTGAAGATGTATACTGCAATAGCAGACTAAACGTTTCGTACTACAAGTTTTATATTGCTATAGCCCGAATGTTGTACTCTTAATCGTGAATCCGCCCGTGAAATCCTATGTTCTTAGATTCACTGGTAGCTTCATCTATTCTGGTCTTGTAATGATTTTTTTTGCTGTAGAGCTAATGATTTTCGAAAATCTTTACTAAACCTAACAAGAAGAAACGTGTAAAAAACAGGAATAGATATGGTGGACTGAAAACACTGTACGAGTTTGACAGATGATCGCGTGTGACTTGGGATCTGATGATATAGTGTTCAGACAACCTAGAAGGTCTATTGACAACAACAGAACAAAAATTCAGCTTATTGCTTTGACGAAAGACGCTTGTCTCTTCGTCTGCCGCTTCTCTGCATTCAAATGACCGAATATCAGCTGCCAATGTATATTATCGCTGACTACAACAAGAAAACAAGAAGTTTCATATTTCAATGAAGATCTGGAGGAGATTTAGGCTTTTGTATGGCCTTTGCATCACGAGGATGACCATAATTATGCGTCAGCCACCGTATTCACCTGATTTGGGCCCCTGCGACTTTTTTCTCTTCCCAAGATTGAAGAGACACCAAGTAGCTGGGAAAGCTCGACGACATACCAAAAAGTGCATATCAGAACTGCTTTTAATATTGGAAAAAACGCTGAGGAGAACTAATTTGAATTGGGCAAAAAAAATTACGAATAAATGAATATTTTTTGGGAAAAATGAAAATTCACCTTATTTTTTGAAGAGACCTCGTACCTCTGCTCCATGTAATAATTTTTAATGTATATCTGTTTCATGTTGTATACAAAGGAGTCTTGATTTGCACATTTCAGACGGTAGAAATTCCATTGTTGAATTTTCTCGAGGATTTTCTAATATGGTTAGTTTGGCTTACACTTCTATTTCCTGCTTTCCTCAATCCACCTGTATGTTTATATCACAAATGTGCGACGCAACATTAATATCATCTGTATGACGTAAAGGTGCATAATCGGCATCGGCTACAAAAGCAGGTGCACGGGGGAAGACACTAAAATTCGTTAAACAACAGTTGTGCGGCTTCTGCTGGCTTTATGTATCCATTTTCTTCTATTTCCATGCGGATGCACTTGGTGATTAAGCGATGACTGAATTAAACTAATTCGATGGACGACATAAAATACAGAGCGAGTCCAGTTTAACGAACTTGATGTTTTAACACCATTCAGAAATAATGAAGAATGTGTTAATTGGGTATATTGGATAAGAGACAGGTGAATAATGAGTTATTTCTCTAATAATTCGGTTGAAATTGAATACAGTGTGTATC